AAGCGAAGGTTTAAGGTAATCTAGAAAAAAAAAGGGGAGAACAACATGGTTAGGCCAACCAATGACCATGGAGTTGAAACATAGGATTTGGAAAGAGAGACTCGATAAACATGTAAATCTAATGTCGTGTAAATATGGAAAGTATCACCGGAAAAATTCTATGTGGATTAAATAAAACCTGGCCACGACATCACTAGTATATCTTGTTCTAAATTCGGAAACCCCCTTTCAGAGAAACGTAGAACATTTTAGTAATATTATTGTTATAATCGCAATTATATAACATATATACGTGATTTAATATGAAACACAAGTTTTTGAAATGACATTTTTACGTTTCATTTTCAAGTGTTCTATCTAACTTTACAAAACACAGGAGCATCTGTAGCGACCAAAATCTTCTATGCTGTCCTTAATTTAGCAGTGATAGACCAGAGGGAAGGCAGCTAGTAAACACAACCCACCGCCAACTCTTAAACTACTATTTTATGAGCTAATAGTGGGACTGAAATTGTATGTTTGTTTGTGTAGCGACCATTTTAAGTCCTTATGATTTGACCCGCGGAGGTCAGGTGCTCTGTGGACCTTGTCCACCCTCGAGACTGTCGAGTTATTTTGATGTTGCTTTGACCACAGAAGTAGTTGAATGACTCATCTCAGAGTTTCATTACAATTTGTTCACCACAAATTCCGGTTTATCCACGATTGTGTTATTGCCCTCACCCCCGAATATTGCAATCGGGTTCGTGTGTGTCTGTCTGTGTTTCCGCGCGCGTAACTCGAAAAATAATAGACCGATGTACACGAAAATTTTATACAAGATGGGAAGACATTATAGAACAGACAGCCATCTTCAAATTTGGTCTGGATCCAAGTATTATAATGGAGATTTTCGCAGTTTTGGGAGTGTAAAGTGTGATCGGATTTGTACCAAATTTCACGGGCACATTAAGATTGAGACTCCTCCGGATCATTGATAATTCTGGATCTGAGAAGGAGTTTGTGAGTTTTCGAAAGTGAAATTTGACGTTATCCAATATAACGCATGTAATCTCGAAAAGGAGCGACGGGACGAGGGTATGTAATCTCTTGTTTTATTTGTATTTCATCCACAACCCGTGTCCAGTTTATGTGTGAACATTAACTTATGCAGTTACACGTACACTAGCACACAACGTCCCGTTCTAGTATTGAGTGAGTGTGGTAACATGCTAAAAGTAGGCTTACATCTTCTTTTGAAAACATTAATTCCATACTGATTGGATCCCTTGCAGTTTAAAATCACACTCAAGAAAAATTTGACCGGATCTCTCGCAGTCTAAAATCACACTAGCGTAAATTTTACCGGATCTCTCGCAGTCTAAAATCACACTAACGCAAAATTTAACCTGATCACTCGCAGTGTTACACACTAATACAAAATTTGACAGGATCCGTTGCAGTGTAAATACTCACTAATACAAAATCTGACAGGATCCGTTGCAGTGTAAATACTCACTAATACAAAATCTGACCGGATCCGTTGCAGTGTAAATACTCACTAATACAAAATCTGACCGGATCCGTTGCAGTGTAAATACTCACTAATACAACATTTGACCGGATCCGTTGCAGTGTAAATTCACACTAACACAGAATTTGACCGGATCCATTGCAGTGTTACATCACACTAATACAAAATTTGACCGGATCCATTGCAGTGGAAATTCACACTAATACAAAATTTGACCGGATCCATTGTAGTGTTACATCACACCAATACAAAATTTGACATGATCCGTTGCAGTGGAAATTCACACTAATACAAAATTTGACCGGATCCATTGTACTGTTCCATCACACTAATACAAAATTTGACCGGATCCATTGTAATGTAGAACATTTAATGTGACAGGCAGTCTTCAACTTCACTTTAACGGGTTGGAGGTTACTACAATGAAAAGTTTGAGCTCCAACCAACTTTAATTTATATGATTAAAAAAGGAAGCAAACGAGACATTGCGAGACTTGTTCACACTGCCCACATACACGTACTTTATTGCACCATCTGCACGTCCTTCACTTACCATAACGTCACGTGTATGCTGATTAAACAAAGGTGAAACTGGCAACAACTGGCTGATTCATCGTGACACTTGTGGAGAAAGTCTTGGAGGACAAATATGCAAAGGTAGCACAGGTCGCTAATTCCAAAGAGTTACGTCTTTTATCTGGTAGCACAGGTGGAGAAGAACGCCACTTCCAAAGAGTTACGTCTTTTATCTGGTAGCACAGGTGGAGAAGAACGCCACTTCCAAAGAGTTACGTCTTTTATCTGGTAGCACAGGTGGAAAAGGTCGCTAATTCCAAAGAGTTACGTCTTTTATTCGCCACTTCTAAAAAGTTACGTCTTTTATCTGGTAGCACAGGTGGAGAAGGTCGCCACTTCCAAAGAGTTACGTCTTTTATCTGGTAGCACAGGTGGAGAAGGTCGCCACTTCTAAAGAGTTACGTCTTTTGTGTGGTAGCACAGGTGGAGAAGAACGCCACTTCCAAAGAGTTACGTCTTTTGTCTGCAGGTCAGCTTGCACCGATTTTGCAGGGGTTTATATGGTACCTGGGAGGACGTGACGTGATTGGTTGTTGTGTATATCGATGAAATCTAAACCTCGTATGTTTCATCTCGTTAATATAATGTTAAACTCACTATATTACGACGTGTGGCTGGGAACTTCAGGAGGTATATAATGTAATGAACACACACAACTGTACTTGTAAAATACCAGAACAAAAGCATGCCATACATAGCTTGATCTGACCGGAAGTTATATTAATTTCTACATGAAATAACTAATTTGTGAAAACACCCTTTAGGAAAAAAAAAAAATGTTATTTATTTAACAACGACGTTTCGATCAGGTTCTCTTCGTTAGGTTTCTTCTTTCCTGGACGTTTGATCTGAAGATCAACAAACTAGGGACTGGTTGAGCTCAACCAAAATTATACGACTTATATATCATAAGCAAGGATTGTTGTATGTTACACGGGAAGAATTTATTATGTATCATCTGTGTAGTTCAAACTGTTTTGTAACATCATATTCTCCTCAATACAAATATTTATACTGTAGTAGAAGTAAGACTGTTATATAGACATTGATGGGTGTAGAAAAAACTGATTTCTCAGACTTAACGTCACGTTAAATTAGATTAATTCTCATGTATCAGGTACTTTAAAAGCTGAAACAAAACATTTCACACGATAGCAGCTACAAAATCAAGAATGATAAGGCGAATATTGCGTCATGTTCACCAGCATCTGGTATAACAAATTTATTTGTCGACAGCTCGATCACAGTCCACTCCCTGTTTTTACTAAGAGAAATTTTACACACAGTTTGTTTTAAACTATATTATTATGCGTAACTAATCTTCCCATGTGATTTAACCATCTTCCCATTTGTTACGAAAATTCTTCCAGTGTGATATATAACATTTTTTATTTAATTTAACAATTGTTGCTTGTGTTATAAAATTCTTCCCGTGTAATATACATCAATCCTTGCTTATGATACATAATAAATCTTCCCACGCGACATATAACAGTTCTTGCTTATGATACATAATAAATCTTCCCACACGACAAATAACAATTCTTCCCGTGTGATATACAACAATTCTTGTTTTATTAACTATCCAGTGCAAATTATAATAAATATTTAAAACCTAAACTTTATTATGTTAAAGTTCAAGAGCTTTCACTGATTAATGATGTTACGTTTAAAAAAAAATGAGAATCTTTATGAAACTCTGTTATGAAACGAGTTATTTCATTAAATAATAATTCTCAGGTTATTGTATATCAAACGTCATAATAACCAAGTTATCCGTTATTGAACGTTATGATACTGAGTTATTCACCTATGTCAACATGTTATTTTTAAGTATCGTAATTTTCAATTTTTCATTTATTAAAATCAAAACGTTAGAGATCATAACTCAATACAAACTAAGTTTTAGTTTAAATTCTGATTTAAAATCAAAATAATAATATCACTTAACGTACATTATTAACTTGTTGTTGTTGTTGGTCTCCAACTTTTCATAAGCCTAACGAATATATCTAACTAATTACTGTGTATTATGTATCACTCAAATAAAACAATCTTTGCATCAAATTAACTATAACTTCATCGAAACGTTAGAGATCATAACTCAATATAAACTAAGTTTTAGTTTAAATTCTGATTTAAAATCGAAATAATAATATCACTTAACGTACATTATTAACTTGTTGTTGTTGGTCTCCAACTTTTACTTAAGCCTAACGAATATATCTAACTAATTACTGTGTATTATGTATCACTCAAATAAAACAATCTTTGCATGAAATTAATTATAACTTCATCAAGGATGTTTCAGAATGTTCAATTCCTACTTATCTGTACACGAATCAAACATCGTTCGTGTCGACACAGATACATACTACTACAGAACTACATTCTATATGGTAACATCTTTCGAGACCTTCCTGTCAATGTGTTTCTGAGAACTGATATCGACAAGACACAATATGACGTCACGACAATTTCCCCCCCCTTTTCTACGCATGGTGATGGTGGGCATGTACATTTCAAAGAGAAATATCCGGTTTCTTTGAGACTTCTCCAAAATTAGCTGTTTTCGAAACCTCTTTCTGAACTTTACCGTTAGTTCAGGAAGTGAAAAACATCAACCATCCAGACTTGGAAGTAATAGTTAAAATTCAACCATCAACATTTATTATAATTATACTGTGTGAATGTAGAAAAATATAACAACTAAACTATTATTATTTAATTACCCCATACTTGATACCTAGAGACTAACTAATATTATCTGATTATTTCACTGACTTGATACCTACAGACTAACTAATATTATCTGATTATTTCACTGACTTGATACCTACAAACTAACCAATATTATCTGATTATTTCACTGACTTGATACCTACAGACTAACTAATATTATCTGATTATTTCACTGACTTGATACCTACAGATTAACTAATATTATCTGATTATTTCACAGAGTTGATACCTACAGACTAACTAATATTATCTGATTATTTCACAGAGTTGATACCTACAGACTAACTAATATTATCTGATTATTTCACTGACTTGATACCTACAAACTAACCAATATTATCTGATTATTTCACAGGGTTGAGACCTACAAACTAACTAATATTATCTGATTATTTCACAGACTTGAGACCTACAAACTAGCCCTTATTGTTTTGTTATTTCCCGGATTTGATACTCTGATTATTTCCCAAACTTGAGACTTACGAACCAACCATTATTATATTAGAACAAATCTTAGGCTCATTTGTAGAATTATTGCATTAAACAAATCATATATCATAATTACTAGTTTTTCACTCCTCTTTTCCCCAGGAGTAGTGTTTTTTTGTTATTTTTTTCTACAACATTTTCACAGCTGACATTAAGTCTTTCTGCTGGTTCTGCTTTGCTTGGAGTAAGAAGCCAGAAATGTCAACTAATCTGTCAAGAAACTTAAGTTAAGTAATTATTTACTGTGAAGTCTAAAATTAAAACTCATGCATAGTGCTTACATTTTGTATATATTTAAGAATCTAATAAACTGAGATACGTAAATTATCCTGAATCAACTGTAGCTGTAGTGAAGTTAGGTAATGTATTAAAACAGGTGAAATAAAGCCAAATTTGTACAAGTTGAAAATACCAACGTTTGTGCGTTGGTATCAGTAACACCAAACGTGTTAGAAATTTTATTTCCTATTTTGTACATAAAAAATATAAAGTACAGATGGGGACACCATAAAGAACAAGCTGATTGGTCATCCATTCTCAGTTGAGAATTCTTGACGTAGAGTAAAAGAGAAAGGGGATGAGCAGCGGAGAAAATAAAAACAGAGCGGCTCATTGATAGAATACAACACTTCTTTAGCATCAGAAGACAAGCCTAATAGAACACTTCTTTAGCATCATAAGACAAGCTAATAGAACACTTCTTTAGCACCATAAGACAAACCTAATAAAACACTTCTTTAGCATCATAAGACAAGCCTAATAAAACACTTCTTTAGCATCATAAGGCAAACCTAATAAAACACTTCTTTAGCATCATAAGACAAGCTAATAGAACACTTCTTTAGCATCATAAGGCAAGCCTAATTGAACATTTCTTTAGCATCATAAGGCAAGCCTAATAGAACATTTCTTCATCATCATAAGACAAGCTAATAGAACACTTCTTTAGCATCATAAGGCAAGCCTAATTGAACATTTCTTTAGCATCATAAGGCAAGCCTAATAGAACATTTCTTTAGCATCATAAGGCAAGCCTAATAGAACACTTCTTTAGCATAATAAGGCAAGCCTAATAGAACACTTCTTTAGCATAA